CTCTGCCCGACTGCGACTCAGTCAACACATTCTCCAGGAACGGTATTCCCAGGAATATACAAAAGACTATATGTAAATATTGTGTACACTTTCTTGTTTCAATACATTTTGTTCTAAGTACCTTTTGTGTTGCATTATTATTCCATGCATTAGTCAAGTTTCAACACACACACACACACACACACACATATATATATATATATATATATATATATATTATACCAATGAAAAAGATTAGACTTCATTTACTTTTCATGATTAAAAAGAAAAAGGAAAAAGAAAACAAACGTAGCCAACCGGTTTCGCCCTCACTCAAAAGAACTAGATCAAGGGATTATATATTGCAATAAGATAAAACATAAAACAATATGTAATATTAAGGAAATCGGAATACAACTTAAATTGAAAACACGTCGTAACAGATATATATATATATATATATATATATATATATATATATATATACTACATATGATCCCTTACGCCTAAGCGTGTATCACGCATGGCACATAACTGAACGCTAACGCAAACCCAGTCTTATTAACAAGGCACCGACTAGAGGAAGACTGACTTTTGAAAATAAATTTAGAACTATGCTTCGAGACAAGCACTTAGAGGTTGATGATAAACGCGCGGAAAACCCTTTGAAATAGACTATACCTATGTTGAGTTAAGTTTGGGGGGTTGCTCTCTCTCTCTCTCTCTCTCTCTCTCTCTATATATATATATATATATATATATATATATATATATATATATATATATATATATATACATATATTCAGTTGTATGGGTACGAGTTTGTAACCCTGGGTTTCACGCTCTTGCGATCATCAGACCAACTGATTTACTTTTTAAAAATTGAATCTATTTATGTTAGTTTGTGTTTGATTATGTTTGGTTGTGGTGGTGGGGGGGTAATTCTCCTCTGTGTTTGTTTTGGGATGACACTCATACGCACTTAGACATACATACATACATAAGTACAGGTGTACTCATTATAGTTCACACAAACACGAACATATAAACAATGCGAGATTAGGCGCAGATAGATATATCCACGTGTTCGAGCATACATACATACATACATATGCAATTGTAATCCTCTTTCGGTGTTGAGTCTGTATGTAGCGAAGTTTTTTCAACAAAAGGTAGGCTGGGGTGTTCTTTGCTCTTTTCAAATCGGCCATCTGCGTCGTCAAACGGAATAACATTTATTCACGTTCACATACATACATGTATACGTGCACAAATATTTCTATTTGTCTGGGCCTTACATCACCGCATTGCTTAAGTGGGTTCTGGATGTGAATATGGCGGTGATCATGGTTTTATTTTTAACGCTGATTGCTTGTGTATTGTAGACAATTGAAATTATGTTGATCGTGTTTATAATTGATATTATAATTGGTAATAATAGTTATTAGTGTATTAACTTTAAATTTAATTCTAATGTTGATGGAGAAGGAAAGTATAATGCTAAAAATGTGACAATAATGACAATGATAATTATGTTAATAGATATAGTAAACATAAAAATGATGAAAATAGTAAAAATAAAATAATAATTACAATGATAAAAAGCAGTACTAATGGTGTTGGGGAGAATGTGAAGTGGTAATGATAATATTCAGTCAGTTATGTGCCATGCGTGATACACGCTTTCGATACATGACTGACGATGCAGATTTTTTCCCCTAGGTAGCTATTTCTTTCATCGAAGGCTACAGAACCCAGTCTGTCCTGCTATTTACCCATAACTTTCGAGAAGAGAATTCATACTTTTCTCGAGAGTATTTGCATGTAAGTGAATGTAATTTATTTGTCTGGAATTCGAACTCGGCTCTACGATTCCTCAAGCCGAGCTACTATCCATTACTCCACCTTCAGTACTAGTAATGAATAGTAATAATGATAATATTAGTAGTAATGCGCTATTCGAGAGGCCATATATATCAAACAATTCTTTCCTACCATCAACCTTACCTTATTTAATAGAAATTTTATTGAAAGTTTTTTGTAAAAATAAAAAAAAATAGAAAGATGCTCACGCGAATTCCAGTCGCGTCTGGCACTCGAAAGCTTGGAATGGACGCTCCTTTTTTGGAAAAAAAACAACACAAGTATAATTTACAACGTAACAGTCAAATCATGAGGAAAAAATAACAACACCAGAGACAAACCCCTTTGAAAATGGCTATAGAAGTGGCCGAAAACGCTTGGAACAATAAAAATTATGGACAATTTTTATATCATTTAACTCCTACGAAACGGAAAAATGTTAGGATGCTGGAAAAACTTAATAAAAAGTTAATTTAATCTTCCTTATCGGCCATATTCAATGAAAGATTTTTGAAAGAAAGGATGCTGTCAAAATGTACATTAATTAATTTTCAGGGTCTCGAGTAAACACATGCACACACACACAATCATGTTCATTTTTTTCTTTTTTTTTTTTTTTCAGATACAAGATAAACCTGCCTTGATTTGATCACCTGACTTGGAGGTAACTAGGCTGTAGACAGGTTCGCCTATCGTCCAGTTGACAGTCCGCCCCAGTTTTTTTTTTGTTTCTTCTGTTTTGTTTTTACCGCAGATGAGGTTTGTCCTTTGTTTCCTGTTTAGGATTGGGTTTCCGGTTACTTCAACACTGTACTTCTGATGTCTACGGCTGAAATCTGAAATTTTATTCAGTATTTTTTTTCTCCAAATAGGAGTAGACAGGTTTGCCTATCGCCCGGTTTACTTTCCTCCTCGGTCTTTTGAACAAGAGTACAAGTTTATTCTTTGTTTCCTGTTTAGTATTAGGGTTTATGGTTCCTTCTAAAATATATTTCACTTCTATACTTCTAACTACTCTGTCTGAACTCTGAAATTTTATTCACTAATTAAATCTTGACCTCTTCAACTCTAGAATTAGCTATCTTTCCTGATGTCTAGCCCTTTCTTACGCTAATGCAACACTATACAGTAACCCTCTAACATGAGTGGCTATTGTGCCTTGGTTTGTATGAACATTAAGAAAAGAAAAATTATTAAATTATAATTAAAAAATAAAAATGTTAAAATATTTAAAAAAAAAAATTATATTCCTTAACTCCTACGGAACGGAAAAATGATAGGATACTGGAAAAAGTTAACCTGCTCTTTCTTATGCTAATGCCACTCCCTACAGTAACCTCTATCTTGAGTGGTTCTTGGGCCTTGTATTGGATGAACATTAGGAAAATAAAATATTATTAAATTATAATTAAAAAATATTAAAAAAAAATCTACACAAGTGTTATAATTTGTGTTATTTTATTTTCCTCTTTATGTATTCGTTACTGAACTGTTGGCCTGTCTTATAGAGCGATGCGTATTATATTGTTGGAAATACAGTGTAACCCGGATATAAGAGACCCGGATATAAGAGAGATTTTCTTTGGTCCCAAATTAGAGCCTGTGTTAATGTATATAAAATAGACCAAACCCGGATATAAGAGACTTCTTCTCCGGTCCCGACAACTCTCTTACATCCGGGTTACACTGTATAGTATTTGTTCTTGAAAAGTCTATACACGTCTATCCTTCAGGAGTCAAAGAAAAAAAAGAAACGCCTTTACCGGATGAGCTCTGATCCCTGCTCCACAAAAGTATGTAGGTGTTTGTTGGTAACAACAGCAACGAAGAAAACAATGAATTTTCCTGAGTAACTAAATAACAATCTTGGTTACACCCCTTGTAAAAGGAAGAAAAAAAACAGAGTGGGGAAAAAAGGCTTTTGACTGTGTGCTGCCAATGATAAATCCGGTTTACCACGCCAGTAGAGTGAAAAGGCTAATACGTCCAACTAGACCGCACAATTAATCTGAAATGGCCGCTGAAGAGGAAGGATTGTTTCGTTCAAACTGTCCTGAGACGTAAGACGCAAGCCGTAGACGAGAGTGAACTGGGGGAACAGCCTCGGGTTTAAAATACAACGTCTCTTAGCAGCCACGCAAATTTTAATTTGATTCAAAACGCCAAACCTCAGTTAAATGTTTAAATAATCCACAAGTTCACAGTTTTTCTATTTGAGTTTTCAGATAAATTATAATTTATAATTTAATGAACAAACTCATGGCGAGTTCTATGAGTGTAAGAGAACCATGTAAATTGATTCGTTATTTGAGCGTTACAACTTTGACAAAATATTGCAATAACAATCTTTCTTTCTTACTTTTTTCTTCTTCTTCCTTCTCGTCTCTCCCCTCCTCTTCTTATTGTCCCTCCCTTAGTTACTTAGCAAAATCGCTACGAAAGAAAGACAGAAAGAAAGAAGAAAGTAGTGGCGATAACATTCTCATATGTTTAACGTCTGTTTCAGTGAAATGGAAAAACTTGCCAATTTCAAATCTTTTCATTTCTACTCCATTACTTCTAAAAATAACGACAAGCATTCATATTCATGATTGCAATATTTTGTTAAACTTGTTAAGCTCAAATATTAAATGATGCGATAGCGAAATTTCTACGGATATTTTATTCTCGTAGAACTCGCTATGAGCCAATAATCATTAACTTAAGAATTATGATTCATCAGAAAATTCACATAGGAAAAAAATTCTTACAATCTAAAAATATTTTCATGGATATTTCTAGGTATTATTATTATTATTATTATTATTATTATTATTATTATTATTATTATTTCCTTTGATTTCTGATGTGTACTCATTTCTTTCCGAGTCCAGCCCTGGGACCTAAGGTTAGAAATGTCATCATGACGTTTTCCACTGAAAAAAAAAGAATTTACATAGACAAAACACTTAGTAAGGTGTGGGCTGTACTTGTAAGGACAATTTTTTTGTATTTCTTTAAGGCATGGGCTTCCAGGAATCCCTTTAATTAGTCTACTGGAATCTTTTCCAACCAATCCGAGGGCTCCCACTACAACGGGGATTGTTAATGTTCCCACGCGCCACATTTTTGAAATTTCGATTTATTATTATTATTATTACTATTATTATTATTGGGGCTTACGGCGATATCACGTTGAAATACCGGTTCCCGTACGATCATCGAAGTTAAACCACGTAGAACCTGGTCAATATCTAGATGGGTGACCGTATGTAAATACCAGTTGGTGTAAACTTTGGAGATACGAGTGATGTAATCGATAACGATTCCGGGCTAGTAGACATTCAATATCATCCAGTGCTTCTTTAGTGATGTTTTTTTTTTCTCTAGAGTAAAGTTCTAGGTAGTGCTCTTGCCATCGTCCCATTTGTTTGTCCTTGTCAGCAATTAAATTCCCCATTTTGATTTCAGGGGCGCAAACCTCTTTGCTGGTTTATCAGTTGTTTGTTTAATGCCCTTGAACACGTTCCGGGTTTTGCCAAAGTCTGTTGGATGCTATCTGACAGTTGGAACCATGGTTTACACAGCGAAGTTCGGTTTACTGGGCCTTGCTACGAGCAACTTTCAGAGCCAGTGGATTTTAGGTGGTTAGGGTCACGCTTGAATCTAATCAGCGTTCTTCCCTTAGCGTTAATGACTGGTTCTGATGTGAAGATGGTAGCCTCAAATCAATCTTTTTCCTTGTGTACCTTCTTTCCATAATTTGCCACTGCAGCATTGTGGATGGGGTTCCGAAGGGCGTTCCATCTGTCTTCGACGCACTGTGGATATGTCATTGGGAATGGTCTCCACAAGCCTCTCTAAGAACTTTCCTTGTTTTATCTGGATAAGCTCAGGTGTTTCAAACGTTGTATAGGGAGTCGCTTTAAGTGATGACCAAGTGTCAATTATTTGAACTTGGATGTCTTCAGGATGCTTTGTGGCAAGTCTTGTTCCGTAAATAAACGTTTGTTATATACAATTCGTGATAGCAGCAAATCCTTAGGAGTACTTGGCCATTCTCGTTCATTTTTCCGATATCATGGTGACCAAACACGTTTGACCTGGACTCTTGATCAGCGCCAACACTAGAAGGTCAATAAGTGGATACTATCCCGATCACTATCTTAACCTGTTCCGGTCTCCGGTTAACCGTTATCTTCCCTATAAACTGTACCTTTTACTTTGTAACCCTCTACCTCGAGTGGCTCTTGGGCCTTACACATGTGAACATCCTTATAAAAAGAAACTGTGAACGGCTTTCACAGTTTGTTTTGAATTGTTAACTTCATAATTATGCGACAACAGAAGTTTTTATTTCTAAGATAAAATTAATTGGTGTCGTACAAAATCAAGATAAGGGCCATAATAAGATAAGGGCCATAATTTTCGGTGATAGAAAGAAAAAAAAACAATTTATTAATCAAAGTTAATTATTTTAAGATGCGATAATTGAGATTAAATTAAAACAGAACGTTCTTTTGATCCTTTGTTTTGATCTGATGAAGCTTAATGCACAGTCGGATATATTTCGAAACAATATATTTTCATGAACGTTTTCCAATTTTCAATATTTGAAACTTTGTCGGGACCTTATACCCTAATTTTAATGCATACTGTCGACACAGAAAACACAAGGATGAAAACAAAAAATCGTTTTTATTCTGAAAGATGATATCTTTCGACTCGGAAACTTAAAGCAAGGAACATAAATGGTAACGACATTTTTCTAAGCTTGGAAAAAAAATAATAAGATTTTATTATTTAGTCATGCACAAATACACACACACGCAACTCATTTTTTTAACCTTTGTTATATATATATATATATATATATATATATATATATATATATATATATATATATATGTGTGTGTGTGTGTGTGTGTGTGTGTGCGTGTGTGTGTGTGTGAAGAATTCATGGATTTATTTTTAATCCGACATTTTTATTACATGAAGTACACGTACACATATATTCATGTGCATGTGTGTGTATGTGTGTTTGTTTAGACATATGAATACGCATTGTTCATATATGTATATGTCTTTATATAAGATGCTACCTCAAACTTCAAGGAATTTGAAGAGCGCTCAAACGGACTTTTACGCAACTCATTTTTTCGCTTTTGAGATATATATATATATATAGTGATAGATAGATAGATAGATAGATAGATAGATAGATAGATTTGATATATATATATATATATATATATATATATATATATATATATATATATATATATATATATATGTATATATATATAGTGATAGATAGATAGATAGATAGATAGATAGATAGATAGATACATACATACATACATACATACATAGATTTTATATATATATATATATATATATATATATAGATATAGATAGATATATAGATAGATATGAACAGGCTCAATAACGATACTTTCTAAGAGAAATGATAATATTATGATTAGAGATGAGTTTTTCACGTCCTATTAGATTTATATAATAAACAGAAATTATAAATTCTCCTTTGGGACGGCCCACAATGTACTTTTTTTTCCTTTTATCAATACGCCACTGAATTTAATAGTTTTTCTCGGCGAAATTAGATCAGTGTTAAATGTCCAAGTTTACAATATCTGTTCGTGCACAAAATGTACAATGCCAAATTTGGTGTCAGCTTACTTCCGATAAATGCTTTTTCGCTATTTGCTGTGTCACCGCTGTGTATGTAGTCATTTAAGCGAATGAATGTTTGAACAGGGTTATTCTAGAAATATGAATCCCCAGGATATTGAGGCGTCTTCTTTCTTTTATGTGCCGTGTCTCTTCAGGACGTAGGCGATCATGGCTCTCCATTTTCTCCTGTCCCTTGTAGCTCTCAATAAGCTTTGCCTTTGACCTTTTGTTATTTCTCCCAGATCCTGTTCTGCCATCCACTTGCTTAAGCCCGTTAAGTATGTGCCGCGTTGCTTTTTTCCTTGTCCCTCTTTCCCACTACCCGCCCTGTGAGTATCAAATTTTCCAAACCCTCCTTTCTCATTACGTGTCACAAAAATTTCAGCTGCCTCTTCCTGTTGTTAAATATGAGTTTCCTTTTTGCTTGCATCCTCTACAAAAAACTTCTTCGTTGCTCACATGTTCGGTCCATGGTATCCTCAGCATCCTTCTGTAGCACCACACCTCTGCTACCTCAAGTCTTACATTGCCAATATACCTATGTAGTCCTGGTTTTTACCGAGACAGATATGAATCAAAATCAGCTCAAGTCAGTGTGGGGACATTCTCCCAAGAAGTACGCCTTCGGTAATACGCTGGAGTCATCACCAGGCGACTGAGGAGACCCCTACAGGCGACTGAGGAGTCCCCTACAGGCGACTGGGGAGTCCCCTAAAAGAGGAAATGCAGGGGAAGTTTTCGCAGTTTTTACACTTTAAACCTCGACGTTGTGTTACACTCGCTAGCAATGTATGCACACTGTTAATACTTAGTTTCCCAATATATATATATATATATATATATATATATATATATATATATCTCTCTGTGTGTGTGTGTGTGTGTGTGTGTGTGTGTGTGTTTGTTTGTCTGTTGTTCAGTTCATACCCCTGCCCGGTCTTTTTAAGAGCAGTAGAGGTTTTTATCTTGTTATCTGTTTAGGATTGGGTTTCCGGTTCCTTCTAAAGTCTACTTCAACTCTATACATCTCTGCCTGAACACTGTGTTATATAGGAATAAAGTGCCGCTGCCGACACTTGAATTTGAAAATAGATCGCCAGTGAGCAAACACAAGCGATCCCATTGTTGAATTAAGTAGATCACGTGACCATAGAGGAAACGCATATATGGAGGAAGTAGCTTACGACTAACGTTACTTCTATTCTATACTCTGAACTATACAGATCTTCATTTCTAGTCTATCTTCTATTACTATTCGGATCTCTATTTCTGCGGAGGCACGGTGAAGTAATAGCGGCTCGGATTGAGGAATCGGAGAGCCGAGTTCGAATTCCAGTCGAATCCATTACATTCACTTACGTGCTAATACCCTTAGGAAAGGTATGAATCCACTTCTTAGGTAAATAGCGAGACAGACCGGGTTCTGTAGCTTGCCTCTGTAGCCTTGGATGGCAACTGGTCTACCACAGAAAGAAGTGGCAACCTACTGCGGGAGAAAAAAATCTAATCGACAGTCATGTATCGAAAGATACATGATCGCATACGCATGGCACATAACTGACTGACTGACTGATTACTATTCTCTATTCTATTCACTATACTATCTCTACTATTCCTCTACTATTCGGATTACTATACGGATTACTATTCGAGTGAGTATTATCGAACAAGTACTATTAGTGCGAGTGGTAATCGAAGGCATCTGACACCAGGATTGTTCAACGGCGTTACTATAGTTGTATCTGCGATTACAAAGTCCCTACTCCAACGAACATTAGGAAAGTGACAACGAGCATTCGTTGACATTAGAAAAGTGGCAACGAGTGTTCGTTGCCATCACAAAACTCTGAAATTTTAATCAAACTTGCATATATATATATATATATATATATATATAGTTGAATATACATAGTGTATATATATATATATATATATATATATATATATATATATATATATATATACACGAGATATATATAAATATATACACAATATATATATATATATATATATATATATATATATATATATATATATATATATATATATATATCAGGTGGCCATAGAAGATTGCATCTTAGAAAAACAGTCTGTTTCATGCTAGATGCAGTCGTCAGGTGGCCTGAAGATTGCATCTTCACATTTATATTTACACGCGCTCTATCTCTGATATTGAGCACTTTATCCCATATATATAGCACATCTTAAGACTATATTTCTTCATATATATATATATATATATATATATATATATATATATATATATATATATATATATATATATCGTGTGCATCCATCGGTCTTGAGAAAGCAACTTGGATCTGCGAACAAAAAGTTATGCCTCAGCTGCTGATGGTGGTGTGGCGTCTGTTATGGCTGTACAGACCCACACACGAGTGAAAGTCTCGATTGCAATGAATGCGTGTGAAGACGCAGTCCCATGGTGTCGCTTTGTTGTTTTCGTTCCGTCAAGCACGCTTCTCCTCGGCAGCAAGTCTTCGTTTCTCCTCTCCTCGATCCGGCCCTCGATGTAAATCGCGTCTTCGGCGACGTCTCCGCACCTCTGGGTGTCATGTCCATCTCCCTCATGGGCCTTT